TTTTTGCTGAGGAAGATTGGCCCTGGGCTAACATCTTCCTCAACTTTATATGGGACGCCACCAGAGCATGGCCTGACAAGCAGTGCGTCAGTGCGCACCTGGGATCTGAACCTGCGAACCCCGGGACGCTGAAGCGGAATGCGTGCACTTAACCTCTAAGCCACCTTAGTTAGCTCTTAATAAATGTATGGTGTCCTGATTAAGAGCGCGGGCTCCAGAATTAAATACTGGTTCACATTCTAGCTCCACTACTCACCCCTTGTGTGAACCCAGTCAGGTTGTTTAACCTCTTTGAGCCTTAGTTCCCTTGTCTAAAAGTGGAAATGATAATAGTATAACAGTAGCTTATAAATCCATCAATGGACAGATAAACAAATTGTGATATATACACAGAGTGGAATACTATTCATTCATAAAAAGGAATAAGTACTGATACGTGATACAACATGGAAGAACCTTGAAAACATCACACTAAGTAAGTGAAAGAAACCAGACACATATTCCATATCAGAAGAGGTCACATGTTGTGTGATTCCATTTAAATGAAATATCCGGGATAGGTAAATCTATAGAGACAGAAAGTAGGGACAGGGAGGAGAAGGGAATGGGGATCAACTGCTTATTGGGTACAGAGTCTCCTTTTGGGGTGACAAAAATGTTTTGGAGCTAGATAATGGTAGTGGTTGTACAACATTGTGACTGTATGAACTGTCATTGAATTGTTCACTTTAAGATGGTTAATTTTATGTTATGTGAATTTCACCTCAATTAAAAAAAACGTAAAAATATAGTAGCTTATAGAACTGTTCTGAGGACTCAGTGAGAAAAAAAGTCCTTGTGAAGCAGCATGCCCACAACATGGCAACCACTCAATAAAGGTTATCTATTGATAACATTGCCCTTTTCATTATCCTTTCGTTCAGCTTTTTTCCCCCATCAATGTAAATCTGTTTGTGTGGGTATGGTATCTTTTGGGGGCAAATAGAGAAAAATTAGAAGTAAGGGAAGTTCTCCAAGTTCATTTCTTTAAAGGATTCAAGTAAAAATTTTCTTTTTGGCCTTGGTCCTCGCTTATTACCACCAGTGTGGGAATGGTCCCTGGCACAAAATAGAAGTTCAGTACATACTTGTTGAATGAGTGAATGGTTCCAAAATTGGAATCACACACTGCAGCTCTGTTCCTTCAATATGCAGCTAAGAAGGTCACCTGGAGAAGTTTGCTTCCCTGGAGGCAAGTGGGAACCTACGGATGTGGATGATGTGGCCACAGCTCTCCGCGAAGCCCAGGAGGAAGTGGGACTGCATCCTCATCAAGTGGAGGTCGTCTGCCGCCTGGTGCCGCAGCCGCTTGACGTAAGGGTTGGAATGGAACTGGGTTTCTTAGACTCTCAGCGGTTCCCAGTGGATCCACTGGCTTCAGGATTCCACCTTTGGCCAAACATGACCCTTGAGAGTACTGTACACACTGCACATGTGGACTTTACCCGCCGTGAGCTCAGTGGCCTTGGGCAAGCCTCTTTTCCTGTCTGGGCCCCTCTTTCTCCATCCAGAAATGAAAGGGTCAATCTCCATCAGTGGTTTTCAAACTGGGTACTGTGGAACCCTGTAGATGCTTCAGAATTCTTTCATTAACTTTCAGTTCATGTTTATTTTTCTTCACTATGCATTTATTTTGAGAATTCGGTAGAAAAATATAACACATATTTGAGTGTACTACCTACCAAATTGTAGCCCCTTGGGGGCCACCAATGCATTACCCTTACCCTAAGAATATTCATTGCGGTACATACCATGGTATCAAGCTCCTCTATATCCCATTCATTGAGCAGTACTCTGAGATCACTAGACAAGCTGTTTAAAAACGAATGCTATTTGCATTTCTGTGTGAATCAGGATTTCCTTAATAGTATACACCAAAAAAACGTAATCTTGTTTTATATGAGTTCACCACAACAACCTCACTGTTGTACTAATGGACTTTAGAAGGAGTAAATGTTGTAAATTTGAACTTGAATAACAGCATTATTTTATTGGTATAAAATTTTTAATAGAAACTTTTAATTTTAGAATACTTACAAATTTATGGAAAAGCTACAAAGATAGGACAGAGAGTTCTCGTATACCCTACCCAGTTTACCTCACTGTTAACATCTTACATCACGGTAGTACATTTGCCACAACAAAGAAACCAGTTTTAGTACATTGCTATTACCTAAACTCCACAATTTATTTGCCTTTTACTAGTTTTTCTACTAATGTCCTCCTTTTGCCCTGGATCTCATCCAGGACACCATATTGTTTTGTACCGTCGTGTCTCCTTAGTCTCCTCTGGTCTGTAACAGTTTCTCAGACTTTGCTTATTCTCATGACCTTGACAGTGTTGAGGTGCACTGGTCAAGTGTTTTGTAGAATGCCCCTCAATTTGGATTGGTCTAATATTTTTCTCATGGTTAAACTAGTGTTATGGGTTTATGGAAAGAATACCACAGAGATGAAGTGCCCTTGTCACATAATATCAGAGGTAGGTATAAACTTTTTCATGTTTTATATATTGGGCTTTTAGGTAAATTTTTATTTCAAAAGAAGAGTCCCACTGATGCCAACAATTGGAAAACCAGTGGATTAGATCATCCTTTATGTTCCATTTGGCTTAAAGTCTTGGTGGCACAGTGTAGCAAAGATAAATGATGCTGAGACATCTGTCTTAATTGGATCCATTTAAAAGATAGAAAGGTCACTCAAGGGAGATGGAGTTTGAAAGAAACTAGTGGCCGCTCAATAAATGCTTGCTACATGAGAGACAGAGGGAAGAGTCACATGGGATTAGGACAAGAAATGAGTCTATCACTTCCTCTTCAATTATGTTTTCTAATGGAAACTCTTTTTGGTTGATGTCTGCAAATCCCCCAGCACATTTTGGGGATTTGTTTTAGAACTCTGTTGACAAATTGAACCCTAGTGGTGAAAAGTTCCCAAAGTGAGAGTAACTGCATTTCTAAGGCCCCAGAAGCTACCAAGTTCTGCCTGTGAGGGGATAGAATACCACATTATTCACAGGAGTATATTGGGTCTTTAAGAGATTTCTGTGGGCCAGAGGCTTCTGGAGCAGGAGATTTTTAAACTGACCTGCTCTTGATATGATGCTAATCATATTATCAAGAAATTAGAATGAATGAAGGCTTTCAAGACAGGTGTACTGTGTTTGGAAGTGCTAGCGAGGGTTATTTGTTTTTTGGACCTTGCTAATCTTTTAAATGTAATACAAAAATACCATTTATTGAGTGCTTATAGCATAATCTAATTCAGTGGTTCTTAACCGGAGTGATTTTGTCCCCTAGGCGACATTTGGCGATGTCCAGAGATGTTTTGGGTGTCACAGCTGGGGAGAGGGGTGCTCTTGGCTTTCTCCCACCCCCTGCATTAACCTCCCAGGCAGGCTACGGTCCTCCAACCCCTCCCTGCCACCTGTTTGTCTTTCTGTCATACATGTGTGTCCTTCTCTTTGCAAAGGTCTCGGGACATTTCTCCTTTTTCTTGGTATGTGGCCCATACATTTCCATTCACTCTCCTTTACTTTGCCACCTCCGAAGACTCAACTCCTGTAACATTTCAGTGGCTGTCCTAACTTCCTGGGAATGTTTCTTCTAGCATATAGCTTCTTCCAGGGGGCCTAAAGCCTGCCTTATCCCCAGTCCCACAGCAGAAGCCAGTCTCCATGGGATTCCAACTCAGCAAATGGGCAAAACTCGGACTTTTATTGGTCCTAGAACATCTACCATGCACCACCTTTTTTCTTCCAGGACAGACACTTGTATTTTTAGAGACCGTGTATCCAGAGATGCTGCTTCATCCACAAATTTCCAAAGTCTGTTTTAATTTTCTAAGCTTGAACAGTCTTGAATGTACCTGACTTCCCATCTGAAACATCCAGTCTTAAACCATTATCTTTCTTAGAGGCTGTAATATTTTTTTTTCCCACCAGTTTCCTTAGACTCTGACATGCTGCTTTGAGGGCCAGCACTGGTCATGCTAAGTCACTTGTCTATGCACTTGCCCAACAGTCGGCTGTTCCAGTAGGGATAAGTGTGTGCCCCTAGCTCAGCTCTTGGGAAGGGATTGAATCTGAGCCACAGCTGGGAACTCTGCGCAGCAGCGTTTAAGCCATGCACAAGGTTGGTGTGCCGTCTCTTTGAGATATGGCGACATCCTTGTCTTCATAGACCTTAAGCATTGTACTCCAAGGTGTACATCAGGCCTGTAGTCGAATCCCGCCTTCTGCCAAGTGTTAGCTGGGTGTGACCTTGGGCACCTTTCTTCGTGTCTGTAGTTTCCGTTGTTAAAGTTTCTTCAAGGTCAGGTTGTTGTGAAGAATCTGGTGAGGTGCTGGCTGCTAGACTAGGGGCCCAGAGGCTGTGGTCACTAAATAGTAACGGCAACCATGAATGCATGCTGAGCGAACACTGTTGGGGTTCTGTCCTGCCCCTTCATATTCTCCTTCCCGCTGCTGTGTTCCTGATAGCTCACGGCTGCAGCTTTCTCCCAGGCCAGGTGCCCTGGGTCTACCGGAGCCCCTTCCCCTGCTGCACAGAGAGCTGGAGGTGCCTATGAATTTATTTCCTGCCTGGCAGCCCTGAGCCAATGACTGATATGCTCAGCACTGAGGAGCATGGAAGCCCAGCTCCCTTATCGCTGCTTGGGACAAACTCTGAGGTGTACTTACACTCCAGAACTCCCCACAGCACCCTTGCCTGGCTTCCTCCCCTCCCTCACCACTTTCTCCTGGGAGCACTTCCTTAAGAAAGCACCTGCAGCTGAGTCCTCATCTCAGAGTCCACTTCTGGGCCACCCTGTGACCCAAGAGGCTGAGCATTTACCCGGGGCCAGGCTCGTGATTGCTGCTGGTGGAACATTGCTTCTGCCCTTTGGCAACCTATGACCCCAGATTTCCTGGCATAAGAACATCTAAAGTCTATGCTCCCATCATCCACTCCTGGTCCAGATGTTGACTTTCACCATTAATTCAGTTAATGGTCTGAGTCATCACTGTTCTGAAACATGTGTCAGCTGTCCTGCCTCTGAGAATTTTCCACAGGCCTGTTTATTCTCCTATAGTGTCCCAGCCTCACAATGCATCCCTGGCTTTTCCCACCCACTTTCTCTTGGGATGCCCCAGGAATTCCAGATTCTTCTTACTTTCTAATTCAAGGTCATGCAGCTCTTATCAGCTCCTATACCTACAATAAACCCCAGGCCTCCTCCTCAAGATTCCCCGTAGAATTATTCACTTAAGAGCACCCATATCCATTTGCGAGCAGTTGTGGTTGTAAATAGAAATCTCCTCCCACATATAAATTATATATATAATTTTCCCATAAGTGGGAATATGCCACAGTTAATATTATGTCACTTGTCTGTTGACAGGATGGCACATCCTTGTCTATGCTATGTCTATCACTTTCTTTTTCAAGGCTGCATAGCATCCCGTTATATGGATATACTCATAATTGATCCACCCTAAATGTCTATCAATTGAGGGATGATATCTTTAGAGTTTTGGGCTATTGCAAATAATGCTTCAGTCTTGTACTCATATCTTTGCTCACTGGTAGGAATTTATCATACAGATATACAAATGCAATTACTACATCAATGGGGCCACGTTTTCATAATATTGCCAAATTGCCGTTTTAACAGATTGTACCAGTTTGTGTTCACAAAAGATATCGTTTTCAGAGTCATCGCACAAACACTAACTCAAGTAAGGCAGAGACTACCCCCATGTCGTGGGGGACATAAAGTTTATTTCTGGAGCAAGTCCTTCCTCCTCCCCTACCCACCTTATGTAATTGACTGCTTTGGCCTGTTTTCTTAGCTTACATAGGAGTGGCATGATTTTAGCATTTGAAACAATATGTCTTCACTTTTTGATTTGTATATTTTGTTTTCTGCTTTTAGAAAGACGCACTGTTAACCCCGGTTGTAGGATTTATAGACCACAACTTCCAGGCCCAGCCTAATCCCGATGAAGTTAAGAATGTGTTCCTGGTGCCTCTGGAATATTTCCTGCATCCATATGCCTACCACCAGAATCATGTCACACGTTCTGGTCATGATTTTATTATTCATTGCTTTGAGTACACAAACCCTGAAGATGGTGTGACTTACCATATCAAGGGAATAACTGCAAAATTTGCCCTGCTCATTGCCTTGATTATTTTGGGGAAAAAACCCACCTTTGAGGTTGAATTTAATCTCAGTGATCTAATATCCTCTGAAGAGTCCTCCCTGGAGCCTCATAAACATGCTACAAGCAAGTTATGATTTATGAGACCAGCATCCAAATAACTATCTAAAAGGTTTTTGTGGGTGCTTATCTACAGAACAACAATAATGCCAGCTGTTGAAATTTGACAGGTCGGAATATTTTTCCTGCAATAAGAAGGTAAAAACCTCACCTTTTTTCCATTGCTCTCTATTACCTGAAAGAGCAAAAGTCTTTCAAAAGTGGAAAAATGTGTTTATAGTGTTGCATAATTCACCTACAATATGTTAACAATATTTTTCTTACAAATGTAAGAAAATGTATATGGCACATGGTAGGCACTTAATAAATATTCATTGGATATATGACCATGTGGCATTTATCTTATTTGTAAGAGGTAAATATCTCTTTCTGTCTGTTGTTACATGTGATAGAAACTTCCAGCCAGCCATCAGAAACTATCCTCCCGTTCTTCTATGGCAGTACGCTTGAAGCTGAGTCCATAGGTCCCCAGGTAGAAACACCATTACCCTTGCAGTTAAATGTGGCTCTGGGACTTAGTTTAGGCCCATGGGATGTGAGTGAAAGTTGACTTTGCAGGTCATCTCCAATTTAAGAGATAAGCCAGCTTTCCTGGATTCTCTTTCCGCCTTTCCGTGAGCTGCAACATGGATTGATCTGCAGTCCAGCCTTGACCATACAGATGAAGACAGTTCCTGGAGGAATGGCAGAACCGAAAGATGGGAAGAGCTTGGATCTCCGAATGACTCTGGAGCAAAGCAACCCACCATTCCGGGCTGGTCAGTTGGGACTGTTACTGGGAGAGAAGAATAAAATTCTGTTATCTTTCTGCCACTATAATTTGGGGTCACTTTGTTAGAGCAGAGCTGTACCACTAAATGATATATCGTAACACTTGAAAATGGCTGGATGGATATTCACCCAAACTTGAGGTGTTGCCAGCAGTTAGAATTCGGGAGATCTGACACTTAACACAGGGGTTCTGTGACATGCACAGGTGCCCCTGGGTGTTGATCGGTTTGGCGGTCATCATCCAGAGCTGAAATGAAGGAATATGAGAGGCCTGTATGCTTACCAATATGGAGAGATAAAGTTATCTGTCTCAAGATGGTGAGAGCAGAAAAACACTAATTTCAAGCACAAACCCCAAATCAAAAGTCAAAAAGACAAACATTCTGAATTGCCTGCCTTGAGAACTACTGCTTCCTACATAGGCATCTGCATATATCATGCTTTAGAGTTAGCAGGGATTTCTTTGTTTAACGATGATATTAACCATGCTGCATGAGGTCATGGAGGCCAGTGAGTAAAGCAACATAACCTCAATTGTGTGATGGCAATTTCCCATCTTACTGACTGTTATTAGATTTTTAGAAAGCCAAGCCATTTTTAACAAGACTTTGTCATGACTCAAAATGCAATGCCCACACAAAACCCATCAATCTGCCATGCGACTGTCCATTGCTGCTGAGTTTATATTTTCTGAAAGCAGGCAGAGGAAAATGTCTGATATACTGCTTCATACCCATAAATGTTGAAACAGCACAAATCTGGCTCCAACCATGAAAGCAGAGGTTGGGTAAGCTTTCCCATTAACAGTCTGTAACTGGCCCTGCATGAGCAGGCCTAAACTGTTTCCAAACAATTATAGAGGCATTTGCAAATGTGTATTTACAATCTGACAGTGGTGTAATTGCTGGGTAGATCGTTGACCTATCTGGCAGTGCAGAAAGCTACCTTCTTGAGCCATTTGTTTGTGGGAACTCCACAGACCTGCCTGGTTTCTAAGAGAAGCTGGTCCAGCTGAAGTCTACAATCTGAATGATCCTCACGGCCATCCAAGTTAAGGGACTAAATATTTCATGATGGAGGTACTGCTCCCTGCATTTTTTAGTGGTGTGTTTTATGACATCTATGTTCAGGGTTCTAGTTAAACATATTTTGGTTAAAAAGAACAGAAGTCTGGCAAATCTGACTCAAATAAAAGAAGTTAGCAGCAAGGCGCAGATCTCAGGGAATCTACAAAACCACTGAACCAATCAGCCTCAAGAAACATAGCAATGGGGAGCAACTCCGGCTAGCTACCTCAAAAGCAAGAGGTTGTGAACCTTCACTTTTGCATCCTGTCCTTGTGGCAATAACCATCTGTATGAGTTGATTCATACAGACATAGAAAAGCAACCGAAACTCAGTGCTTCAGTCTCCAGTTCCTTGGAAAAAGCTTCATTTGGCCTAGTGTGAGTGACCTGGTGAGTTTCCTGTAACCTGTGGGTATGTTCAAGGGCAGAGGTCAGGGTCAGGCCACCAATGCACGTCTCCCAGAGTCCCCTCAGTCAGCATGCTGCGTATGGGAGCATATGGAAGAAAGTGGGCTAGACAGACATCCCAAAACATCTACTGTCTCCAGTCCCTAAAATCTGTAAATTCTGTTGTCCAGACAGCTCAACCCTGTCTCCTTTGCATCCCCACAGCCTTGGTAAGCTGGTGGTCAGGAGCCCTGGGTCTGGAGTCAGGATGCCTAGATTTGAATCCCAGCTGCAGCATCAGCTCATTCAATGACCCTGAGCAAGTTGCTCATTCTCTATAAGCCTCAGTTTCCTCTTCTGTAACGCAGGAGAGATGAGTTTTTTGTTTTAGCAGCTGTTGAGGGAATTAAAGGAGTTAATCCATGTGACCCCTTTACTTCAAGCACACCTAAATGCTCAGAACAATGCCTGGGAAATAGTAAGGGCTCACTTACCTGTTAGCTAGTAATTATGGCACTATTATAACTATGAGATTATGTTATAACAATAAGAATAAGCATTGTTATTTCTCTAGTTCAGAATGTCATCATTTTCCTATACCAGGGGTTCCTGAACTTTCTCAGTCCACAGCAAGCACCCTTGGCATCTCAGTGATTTTTTTCACAGCACATCTAGGCCAAAAGAAACACCTAACAATTTTGTTTGTTATGTTGTTGTATCCAAACAACTTAATAAGTGCTTATGTCCTACCAACTTGGTAGATCTTTGAAAATATATTGTATGCTAGAAAAATCCTATTTTCATTACAGTCTTAACCACAATTGCTTACTAATGGGATATGTGCACCAGTTGGGCACACAAGTAAATGGACGATTCCGATACAGTCATATGATAGAGATAAACACAGAGTCAAAGATGGGAGGGACACCTGACGCAAATTTGGGACTCAGGGAAGCCATCCCAGAGGAGGTAGTGGCTGAGCTGAGCCTTGATGGAAAGGGAGATGCTACCCTGGTGAATGGGATGGTGGTAGTGATGATGGGGACTAACTTTTTTTTTTTGATGAGGAAGGTTAGCCCTGAGCTAACACCTTTGCCAATCCTCCTCTTTTTGCTGAGGAAAGCCCTGGGCTAACATCCGTGCCTATCTTCCTCCACTTTACACGTGGGACACCTGCTACAGCATGGCTTGATAAGCGGTGCATAGGTCCGTGCCCGGGATCCAAACCTGCAAATCCTCGGCTGCCAAGGTGGAGCGCACAAACTTAACCACTACGCCACTGGGCTGGGCCCAAAACTAACATTTATTAAGCACCTTTTACATAACTACTTCTTCACTTTGATTATTTCATTTAACCCTCACACCAAATCTCAGCACTGAGTACTATTATTATTCCCGTTTTTAAGTAGCAAAATTTGAGGATCAGAGAAGTTAAATTTGCCCATAGTCACACAGTTCATAAATAGCAGAACCAACACCCAAACCTACATGTATGAATTTCAAAGCCCAAACTCTTTCTACTATACCCACTTACTCCAAGATACGCACTATTTCACAGGGACAGAGGCAAGAACAGAACGTTAAATTTGTTTCCCTTGAATCACCACCTGTGAAAGGGAAAGCAACACGAACTCAAGGAATTGGAGAGAGAGCAGAGTTTATTTTTGCCTTTTTTATTTTATTTTCATCGTGTCCTCCAGCTTATTCAGCTGGTGTTGCACACAGTGAAATGAGTAATTAACAAAGATGATTTTAATTAAAATGGAAGATACCAATTAATAAATGAAAGAGCTGGCCTACTGGCTAATTTTTAACAGATCCTTTCACGGTGCCAGCCTTCCAGTTAAAGAACTGAGATGGGGAAACATTCCTCTACCCCTTAGACAAGATGATGAAATATAATTCAAGTCTTTTTCTTGTTTCCAGTTGGTTTCTTATCTGAGCTTAGCAGAAGGTTTAGTGAAAATCACTGAAATGATCATCACTTGGTCCAGTTGTCTTAGACGTGGCATACTTCGGGTCCCTAATGGGGTCTGTGTGTATACTCCATTCAGAACTCCTAATTGCCCACCCATCACCACTCAGCCATCTCCCTGTGCCTTCCCATTGTTGAACACTACTCAGACTCTGAGTCAGTTCCTCTCTGCCCACTTCTCCAAACACCCCTAATTTATAGCATGGACACTGCTTCATTGCACCCCTTTGCATATCTGAAACAATATATGTATGTTTTTGTGCTTACTCCAGCCATGACCCTGGAAGGGACAGATCTACATACCATGAGAATCCTCAGACTGACTTCCCCTGGCCTCTGGTGAATGGACCAAGGATCAGTGGCCAACCCAAAGGCAGCATCTAATTTGATGGCCAGTAATCTATGACTTAAGAAACTGAGCTAAGTCTATTAGATTTTCCAAAGAATTTGAACTATGCCAGAAGATATTATTTGCTCGGAAACTATTCTGGCCATATGTGTGTCGATGAGTAAGCCCAAGAAGTCAGGGTTTAAAGGTTCGTTGGCCAATAATTGATGGAAATGTCTTTGATTTAGGCAGTATTTGTGATGTCAGACATTCCACCAGATACAACTAGAAGAAGAAGTAATATTTCCTGAAACGACTTAAAAATCCTTTTCTATGGTCTCATACTCAAGTCCATAAATTTTTATTTTATGAGTGTAGGCTTGCTTTGATATTTCCTTGACTATAATGTTCCTCATTTTTCATTTTATATCTTCAAGCTTTTATTCCTTACTTTATCATGATTGTCAACGGCACTTCTGTTTCCATTTTTTTTCTCTTTTACACTTATTGCGCATGTAAAACTTGAAGTTTTCTTTCTGGTTATTTTGTTCTACTTCCTTAATCCATTTGTGTTTCTTTAGTAATTTGTAAATGGCTTCTGCTCTGGGCTCATTTCATCTCCTTCTACCAGCCTGGAGTTTTTCTTCTAAATCTGCTACATCTCATGGAGCCCATAAAGCATTCTGAGAAGTTGCCTGCATTTTTTTTTTCTGACTATAAATCTGTATGGCCTAACGTCAGACCAAATGATAAATTGAAGACAGTTTTGCTAGAACCCCTAATCTGTTGTAAATACGTATCAATCTATCTTAGCTCCCTGTAGTGAATTGAATAGTGGCCCCCAAAAGACATGTCCAACTCCTAACCCACAATACCTGTGAGTGTGACTTTATTTGGAAATAGGGTCTTTGCAGATGTGATTAAGTTAAGGATCTTGAGATAAAATCATCCTGGATTTAGAGAGGGCCCTAAATCCAGTGACTGGTGTCTTTGTAAATGAAAGGAGAGGGAGATTTGAGACACATAGACGCAAAGACACAGGGAGGAAGGCCATGTGAAGATAGAGGCAGAGGTTGGAGTGTTGCTGCCACAGGCCAAGGAACGCCAGGAGCTACCAGAAGTGGGAAAAGGCGAGGAGGGCTCCTTCCTTAGAGACGTCAGGGAAAGTGTGGCCCTGGGAACACCTTGATTTCAGACTTCTGGCCTCCAGAAATGTGAGAGAATATATTTGTATAGTTTAAAGCCACCCAGTTCACAGTAATTTTTTACACCAGCCGTGGGAAACTAATACTCCCCACTTCTGAAACCACCCCCTAATTTGAGCAATAGCTCTCACTTCTGTCTCAGGATTAGCATGAAAAGAGTCCACTGTTGACTGTCCAGGGATCGGCACCCAGCCCAAACTCAGTTAATCAGATTTATTTGCTCAGTAATTTCCTTGGG